ACACTCAGGGCGATAGCGAGGCAATAATGCGGTTCCCTCTGTTTCAGTTTCCTATTCTTCCATTGATCTCGAATCACTGTTTGTTTATTATCCTCCACTTTCTCTGCTACTACAACCTCTCTGGGTGTCCTGGCCACCCCCACTTCCGCTGGGGGGATCCCTGCCGCCTGTCGAAGAGGGGCGGGGCCACTGACGGAAATACTCATCTACACAGATACATACATGGACACACACGCGAAGTAATAGGGGTATAAAGGAGCTATATCAAGGACAAACGCTCACTCACCCACCCACAGTCGCACCCACCAATCCACAGAAGCACTTTTTCCCGCTTTTCTTTTTCTTCTGACGTGCGTTTAAGTTATTGGGTTCAAGCACTGCTCCGAGTTCCTTTTACCCATACTTTCCTCTTCCCAGGTTTTCTTTTTATGATTAAAATCAATGGTAAAAAAAAACGCCCATCTATGAGTAGGGGCAAAAACGTTTTTTTTTGTTCTTTTCGTCCTTTTCGTTTTCATTGCTTTTCTCAGCCTTTTCGCCGCATTATGTCACGCCGGAGAACCTCATCGGTAAGAAGGAGGAGGGCCCTATGCAGCGCAGCCGCCTGAACCTCCACGGGCACACTCCTTTGGTGTCTGTCGTTATGGCAGCGAGGGTTCACGCCGCCGCCCGTCTGCGAAGTGCTGCTGCACCCAGATGGAGCAGGGGCCGCAGCCAACTCCGGGCTTCCTGGGCTGGTGCACGATGCACAATCAATAACGGCACAGATGGGCGTGTCTCCGCCATACCGTCCAATCGCCTCCCACACGGCGCGGGCACTTTCCATCAAGTTACCAGAGAAGGAACGATCGTACGCCGCACCAATCGTGGGTGGCATCGCCTCTGGGGGTGGTGCTTGCGTCGTTTCCAATGAGTGGGGGAATATAGATATCGTCGGAGCCAGGATAGTGTTGCCCGAGTGGGGCGTAGGGCAGGATAAAGTTGTTCCATTCCCAAAGCCACTACAAACGCCTGGTATCTTAGGCGTATCCAAGGGAGAGCCAGGCTCTCCGTCCAGCAAAATAACATACGCATCTGTACCAATGGTGTGCTGCTGCAGTAGTGCCTTGTCAAAGCCGTGTCGATGGGTGATACCAACCAGCTGGATCCGCACCGACAAATTGGGCACCGCAGAGGCTGGGGAGAGGCGAGTGGGATCAGATGTGTTCAATGGCAGCGGCACCTGCAAAACAATCTTCTTCCGGTACTTTGTCGGTGTGCTCGTGGCTGAGAAGCGTCTACAGAAAGACTGCTGACCTGTTCTTGGCGTTGCCGTTGGCGTTCTTCCCCCCACAGAAGTACCAAAAAGGTTCTTTTCACTGCCAGAAAGATCGGACGCCGAGCTTAGCGAAGGACCGAGTGAAGGCGTGGTTTCCTTGCTGCTCGGGTTGCCCTGGGAGGAGTGAGACTTGGCCTGAATGGTCAGCTGGCCCAATGCGTGGAAGAGCTCCCTGGGGTCGGTGCGCTCGCCGCTCTCCACCACGCCGCTGCCTTGCAGCAGTATCACACACACCTTACGTTCGCGGCCCCCGACCAACGACTCGCGTCTGTCGCCCGGACTGCGCAAGTGCACGGCGGAGTTGCCGCCCCGTCCCGCCTCAGCGAAGGCGCCGCCGTGCGCCCCCCGGCTCCGTGTCCCCGTGTGCAGGCCTGCGTGCACCTCGACGTCGTCGAAGCACCGCGCACACACCCGCTGCAGCGTCGTCGTTGTTGGCGGCAGCGAAAACCCACCGGGGTAGGGACTGGTGGGAAAATGCCGCTCCATCATCGTCTCCAGCCTCTTATCGGACACCGTCGCGTCGACCGCTGCCGTTTTCGCGGCAGCCGCCCTGTGCCCATTGACGTCCAGCCACCGCAGCAGTATCAAATCGCCTGGGAGAAACGCATTGGAGCAGCTGTAGCAAAATATCCCGCCACAGAGCCTACAGTGGTGCCGGCGACGAAAAAACTCGAACTTCTTGGCGCAACTATCACACTGCTGGGAGGCACAGTCTGGCTTCCAGTGGGCCAGTTGCATGCAAATGAAATTTACTCTCGCGCCTGCCACCTACGATTCCAAGCACACACACACACACACACACAGAGACAGACTAGAAACAACAAATAATATCCCTCGTCTCAACTATTATTATTATTATAGTAATGTATAAGTATATATATATATATTACTTTTTGTTTCGTTTTGTTTT